GGGGGGGGGGGGAGGAACGCTGTCCGTGTAAGTGGCAGTTGTGGTAGCAGGAGCAGGAGCAGGAGCAGCAGCAGCAGCAGCAGCAGCAGTGTTTCTGTGACGTATTCCACAAAAAAACAGGAGAGAACAAGTGTGTGTGTGTGTGTGTGTGTGTTCGTCCTATTTGTTCTGGCGACAGTTACCACACCGCCCGTGTGTAAGTTGCAGTGGTGGTAGCAGCAGCAAGCAGCATAGCAGCAGCAGCAGCAGTGCTGCAATGATTTTTACCAGCAGGAGAATCCACATTCGAGAATCCAATCTGTGTCCACTACGGACACCAAGAGAAGTGCGTGCACGTGTCCGTCCCACCTACTCGGACGGCAGTGTACACATCACCCGTTTCTGTGCGCATGTGTACGTTTGGCGTGTCAGCCGAGGCCACGTCGGGGCGTTTTTCGTCGCAGCTGAAACGTACAAGCCAAACAAAAATCGGCAAGTAAATCGATTTCGGCTCTGTCGGCGAAGGCAAGAGCAGCACTGTCTACCAGCAGCAATGTGTAGCTCCAGTCGCTCATTCCATCGCCACGCAGCCAGACAGGAAAAACAACAACGAGACAAAATACACCTCCATCGCTTGCCCCCCACACCGGCCCCCAAAACTTCCAGCGCCCGCACACGTGTCACCTGAGCGTTACCGGAAGCCCGGCGATGTCCATCTGCACCTCAACGACGTCCCTGGTCGTCCCCGCCACGGGGCTAACGATAGCCGCCGGCCGCGCTGCCAGTAGGTTGAGCAGGGAGCTCTTTCCCGCATTGGGGGGCCCCACGATGGCCACCCGCACCCCCGACCGGACGATCTCCCCCCTGCCTCCGTCCCGTAGGTGCCTGTCGATCTCGGCCGCGAGCCCCCTGACCCGCGGCATCATCGCCGAGAAGGCGGCGTCGCCGCCCACGTCTTCCTGTGTCGGCGTATCATGCGCAAGTGAACCGTGTTTGGCTGCCGGATTATCTAGTCCGGCGTCTTCATAGTGTGTTGTGTGTCGTGTTCCTCCCTGAGCGCGTTTCTTTGAGTGCTGATTTTTCCTGACATATAATCTTTCTGTGTTGTGTATGCACAAGTACACAAGTTTTGTGTTTGGTGACTGATTATCTGGCCTGTAGCATCGGGCACGGATAAGCACATGCGCAAACCCCAAAACATTCCGTGCATGTGTTTGGTAGAGTGCCGGTCAGGACACTTGGAATGAGGCTTTGGCGCCAACAACGGTTGGTCCTGTGGCACTTCTTCGGCATGTGCAGCTCCGACAACCCATTTTGCGTTATTTCAGAAACCGTTGGAATGGTCTGTCTTGCCTCAAGGCGAGAATGAGGTGCAACCTCACGTTATCCAGCCGTTCCAAGAAGACAAGCTGTGCCAAACAGGTGGCAAACGACAGGGGAATTCGTGGGCGGTTCAGTCAAGGACGCACGACTCATGTTTTCTAACGTCGCAACAACCGCCAGGTGCCTATTTCGAGACATGTGCGTACCGTTGAGCACGAACGGGAGATCGACGCTTAAAGAGGCAGGCGAAAACAAGGGCGAAAAGAAATAATGCACCGTGTCGCGACGACCGGCTGATCGCGGCAAAACAACAGGCAGGACATCCGTGCGCAACGCCCGTGCTTTCGCCCCCAAAATCATTCAGACAGAAAAAGCAGGAGAGGCGCGAACGGGGGAGGGGGGGGGGGCGCG